AATAGTGGGGGTGGGGGTGGGGGAAGGAAGCATTTAGGAACTAGAGGAAAGTTGTATGTTTCATCAGTGCTACACTGCAACCTGACTGGCTCGTCTCCTCCCTGCAACCCTTCTGTAAGGGGATGTCCAGTTGACTACAGATGGGCTTTGGGTCCCCACTCCTCACTCCACCTCATTCACAATGATATGATTTTTTGTTCTGATGATGCCTTATACCTGATCCCTTCGACACCTCATGATCGCACAGCCTGGTGTGCTTCTTCCTTCTGGGCTTTGTTGCTTCTGAGCTAGATGGCCACTTGTTTACCTTCAAGCCTTTAAAACCCTAGAAAGCCTTTAAAACCCTAGATGCTATATCTTTTGATAGCTGTGCACCATCAGCTTTCTTCACCACAGAATTGCAGTCTTTAATGAAAATTCTCTATGTTTACAGAACTGATAGATTTTCTTACCTGAGTTACCATTACCTATGAAATGAATTGGCAGATATTCACAGGTGGTCTAGAGTCATAGACAGGTGTGCATTTTCAAGCCCACACAGGACATCTGTTTGTACCGATGGACTAAGAGAAAGCACAGAGGGAAGAGGACAAGGTTCAGTCTTTCCTTCATTCAAAGATATTTTAGAGATGTTGACATGGATACAATACTCTGGTGCTGAGAGTCAAATGAAATGATCTAAGCTGGGTGTCATGGTGGGGAGGCTGATCATGCTCAGGAATTGAAGAGTAAACTGTGGAGACAATCCTTAGTAGGAAGATAGTAAAATTATGTGTTTCTCACCCCAGAATATGGATAATTGGATTCTGGGCAGCATGGCCATATCTTTGGAGGTGTGAATGGGAAGAGGAGCAAAAGTTAATTAGTATTCATTAAGCATTGACATTGGCACCAATAATGCTATGGAATCATCAAAATTATATGGGTGAAAAAATGGAAAACCACTTAAGTTAAATAACATAAAAATTGATAGCCCTTGTATTGATGCCAAAGAAAGATGCAAACTCAGTTTCTTGTCTTGGCTAATGGAGTCACCACAGAGGAGTCAAGGCAGATATAAGGGGTGTTCTTTGGCTCCCAGCCAGTGGATCATCACATCATGTTGATTCCAATACTTCAGTTGTCCCCACATTATCACTCTGCTTCCATTCCACAGCCAGGTGGAATCCTAGGGTAACTCTTCCTGGGAATACTTCAACAATCTTGTTCTTGGACTCCCTGACTCAAGGGTGCTTGCTATAGGATAGTTCATGGGCAAATTTTTATAAGTAAAGTTTTATCAGAACACAGCCATCCTCATCATTTATGTAATGTCTTTGGCTACTTTCATTTTACAATGGTAGAGTTGGGTAATTATAACAAGGTCGTGTAGCCTGAAAAGTTTATTGACTGTCTGCTGGGGTTACTAGTTTAATAAATAAAAACACAGGGTGCCCAGTTAAATTTGAATTTCAGAAAAAACAACATCACAAGGATACTTAAATACTTTATACATATACTAAAAAAATTGGAACTTCTAAATATTTATTTGAAATTAAATTAAAAATGTTACTGGGCTTCTGGTATGTTACTTGGTATTTCAATTTATTTGGTACTTCACAGAAAAATTGATCATCCCCTCTCTCAATTATCTTTTAAAAGCATGAATCCAATAATTGTGGTAGCCTCCCACTGTCCCTGCCTGAGCAAGGAACAAGCCATTCTGAGTGACTTGTGATTGTACCTTTACCAGGGCTGGTCATCTTGCCTGGATACCAATTTCACTGGCAGGCAGGTCTCGTTGGTTGCTAAGGCCTATGCAATGCCACCTCGTCTGGGAAGCAAATCAAGAATCCCTATAGGAATCCGATGGGGGCAAAGCGGGTTACTCTCTGGGCTGCTAACTGCAAGGTCAGTTAGCTGGGCCGCTCCTCAGGAGAAAGGTGAGCCTTCCGGCTCCCGTAAAGGCTTTTCACCTCCGGAACCTGAAAGGTTCATTTCAAACACAGGAAGGAAAGAAAGGAGAGAAACCTAAAGGGGCAGTTCCACTTTGTCTTATCGGGTTGATAGATAGGAGTTAGAATTGACTCGGGTTTGGAATGCTAATTAATTCTCTCTCTCTCTCTCTCTCTCTCTCCTCAGAGAAATGCCAAGGACCTTGTAGCACTCCCAACTGCACCCGACCTTGTACCAAAAACTTTCATGGAGAAATAAAATTTACATGTCATCAAAAAAAGTGGCAAAAATCAATGGAAACCTGTACAAGCCTTTCTGTGGAAACCCTCTTCCAGGTGAGTCTTTGTCTGCTAAATGACCACGGAACCCTGGATGTCCCCGAGACAACAGAATGGAACATCATGGCTGCAGCCACTGGGCCAACTCATCCTGGGTGGGGCTTCCTCTTTTTCTCTGCCACTCTATTTACCAAGCATGATGTCCTTTTCCAGGGACTGGTCCCTTAAGGTGACAGGCCCCCTCGCCTCCCCAAAGGAACCAACCAAACAAATCCCCTGGGGAAGGCCCGCTCTGTCACACGGGGTCCCTGGGAGTTGGAACCACCTCTGCTTCTGAGTGCAGGTGCTTGTGCTCTTCCATGCTTAACCGTTTTTGAGTGAAACTTTTCTTTCTCTTTCTAAGCAGGACTCGAAAGGTGAATCACGAGTTTCCATAGCAGCAGCATCTATGTCTCTGCCCAGTTTTAACCTGAGAGCCCCAGAGCCTATCAACGATGTGGTTCAAGGTATCTACAAGAACTGCCCCCTGGACTATGCCTGCATCATCGATCCTGTGAAGTCTTCAGAAGTCACATCTGGCAATATTGAATTTATAGTGGAGTTACTAAAAAATATTTCGACAGGCTTACCCGATAATGTTACCCGCGAGAGAATGAAGGTATTTGCTCCTGTCATTCGACACTGGCAGTCCTTTCCCTGAAACCTGGCTAAGGGACAGTTTCCACTGTGCTTTCCAAGGTCTCAGGGAAAACGGCCACCTCAACCAGCATGATGGTCACAAGCATGTTGCTTCAGTTTTGCATCTAGATTTATTTTAGTTTACGGAAATTTACAAGGACCCAGGACTTCTTAAAATATATGTTTCTTTTGCAAATTCAAAATTGTGTCACATATTCATGGCCACCAGCAAGACTGAGTCTAGGCCAAGTTTCCAAAATTATATTTTATAGACTATAATTGTACTGAGAAATGTTAATGGTGGTTCTGTTTTGTTTGTCATATTTTTATTTTTTTAAAGGTAACCATAGAAAAGCAAGGTGTTGGAAATGCTGGTTCAAATAAAGTTAAGCAGGTTTCTTAATGGCAGGGCTTTTCAGAGTTTAGGAACTTTGAGACTTTATAAATCGAAAGGGGGGAGAGAGAGAGATGCTAGGTGCTGTGGATGGTGCAAAGAGTCCTTGAGTTCTTAGCTGCTAACAGAAAACTTGGGGGTTCAAATATAACCAGAGATGTCTGAGAAGCAAGGTTTGACAATCTGTTCTTGAAAGGTCCCAGTCCTTTGAACAGCAGAGAGAGAGAGAGAGAGAAAGAGAGAGAGAGAGAGAGAGAGAAGTTTGATTTTGCAGCATGTGTGAGTGCCATGAGTTGAACCCAGCTTTGGGCAACTCATTTGTTTTGAAATAATGACATAGCCGGCAGTAATGCTCACTCTTTCGCGTATCATAGAATTCACCTCCACCTCCCTCCATGTTGGAACCCTGGAGGTGTGAGCCACAGTCCCAGGATCAGCAGTGGGAATTCACCAGCCCTTCCAAGGGAGAAAGATGTCTCTTTAAAGAGTTACAGTCTTGGAAACCCATCTGGGCATTTCTATTTTATCAGAATTGACTGGAGGGCAGTTTTGTTCGGCCCCTCCCTTCCACTAAACATTCATTAACATCTCACTGGAAACTCAAATTCTATAGACTTCAGATTGGAAATGTTTCTCTGGCCTAGTACTAAGGCATGTAAAGTTTACCTGTGATATTTCCTTTTAAGCATTTTGGTGGCACTGTCGGTAAACTTTTAAAGTCACTACTGATTTCAAAATCATCACTGCTCCCAGTGAAAAAGTGTGCCTGACAGCTCCCATAAAGATTTACAGTCTTGCAAACCCTATGTTGGGTCTCTATCATCCATCCATCTATCTATCTATCTATCTATCTATCTATCTATCTATCTATCTATCTATCTATCTATCTATCTATCTATCCATCCATCCATCCATCCATCCATCCATCCATCCATCCATCCATCCATCTATCTATCTATCTATCTATCTATCTATCTATCTATCTATCTATCTATCTAACTGGCTATCTGGCTATCTAATCTATCTAGCTATCTAGCTGTATGTCCATCCATCTATCCGTCTATCTGTAACTTTCTGTCCTTCTGTTCAAGTGGATGGACAAGCATTCTATAGCCTAGGGAACGTGAAGGTACACGTGTCAAGTAAGATCAGGTTATTTGCTCTTTTGACACTTCAGACGAATTTACTTTGTACAAAAGAAAGAAAAAAACATGTTTGGAAACTGATTATGGTATCAATTATACAATACAGCTTGACATGATTGAACTAGGGAATGATAGGATTTATGTACTAACTCCCAATTAATGTTAAATGAAAAGAAAAATGATAATGAAAAATGTTCCCCCCACACAAAAGAAACTACAAACTCACTGCCATCAGGTCAGTTGAGGCTCCTCCCGCCCGACAAGACAGGATGGAACCGCCCCTGTGGGTTTCTGGGATTGGAACTCTACCCGTGTCTTCATCTTTCTCCTGCGGAGCGGCTGGTGGGTTTGTACTTCTGACCTTGCAGTTAGCAGCCCGACCCATAAGCGACTTTGCACAGTTGGTGTGAACCCTTCACTAAAGAGCGGCTTCTCTCCATTGCAGAGTTACAGCGAAGTGGCCAGCCACATCCTGGACTCCGCTGCCATTTCGAATTGGACCTTTGTTTCCAACAAGGACGCCAGCTCGGACCTGCTGCAGTCGGTCTACGGGTTTGCCCAGAAGCTTCGCCTAGACAACAAGTCGGAGAACATCGTAGACAACCTCTTCATTCAGACCAAGGGCTTTCGCATCAACCACAATACCTCAGAGAAACATTTTAATTTCTCCTTGAACCTGAAAAACACAACGGAAGGTATCTCCGGAATAATAGAAATTCCCAAGCAAGAGCTGGGGAAGCTGCGGAACGCATCCCAAGTCGTGAGCATCGCCTTTCCCACCTTGGGGGCCATTCTCAGAGAAACGCACTGGCGGAGTGTGAGTCTGCCCAATCTGGTCAATGGTCTGGTCCTATCGGTGGTTTTACCAGACAGCTTGAAGCAAATCATCCTCACCTTTGAGAAAATCAACAAATCCCACAATGGCAAGTCCCAGTGCGTGGGCTGGCATTCCAAGAAAAAGAGGTGGGATGATAACGTGTGCGTAATGACATGGGACATCAGGAACGAAGTGAGATGCCACTGTAACACCAGCAACGCTGTGATGGCCTTTTCCATTCTCATGTCCCCCAAGTCCATCACTGACAAAGTACTGGAATACGTCACCTGCATTGGGCTCAGTGTCTCCATCATCAGCCTGATTCTTTGCCTGATCGTTGAAGCTGTCGTGTGGTCCCGGGTGGTGGCCACGGAGATTTCATACATGCGCCATGTGTGCATTGTGAACATAGCGGTATCACTCTTGACCGCTAACGTGTGTTTCATCATTGCCTCAAGCTTTAAGAGCAAGGGCCCGGACTACAACTTGTGTGTGGCGGTGACCTTTTTCAGCCACTTTTTCTACCTCTCACTGTTTTTCTGGATGCTCTTCAAAGCACTGCTTATTATCTATGGCATCTTGGTCGTGTTCGGTAGGATGATGAAGTCCCGCATGATGGCCATTGGTTTTACCATTGGCTACGGGTGCCCATTGGTCATCGCTGTCACCACTGTTGCCATCACCGAGCCTGGCAAAGGCTATGTGAGAGCTGAGGCCTGTTGGCTTACCTGGGACAATACCAAAGCCCTGTTAGCATTTGTCATCCCAGCCTTGGTCATTGTGACTGTGAATCTCCTTGTGGTTTTCGTAGTGGCCATCAACACTCAGAGGCCCTCCATTGGCAGTTCCAAGTCTCAGGACGTGGCTACCATGATGAGAATTAGCAAAAACGTTGCCATCCTCACCCCATTACTGGGACTCACCTGGGGTTTTGGGGTCATTACGCTCATTGAAGGCATTCCTCCAATATTCCATATAATCTTTGCCCTACTCAATGCTTTCCAGGTAAGTTCCAAAAGGGAGATTTTCTGCTATTTTGTCTATGTAACAAATAATGCTCACCATTGAGAATGTTAGATTCACAAAATGTTGCTCTGTTTATTTCTGTATCTTAAAAGCATTTGGTTATGCGTCTCTTGCCCAATTGCGTTCCACTTATATCAGATTTAGCTGACCTGGTTGGTTGCATGGGACTTCCTCTCCTTTTCTCTTATGGTTGACTTGCACCCTCTAAAAGAACCAGACAGCTACAGTCTTTGCCGCAGCGGACTCTTCTTTGGGTAAGGATGTGTGAGGCTGTCTTTATAAGTTGTAGCCTCAAAACAAGTTTACTTTTGATCTGTTCAAGGGGGTTGAGAATAGATTGAAACACCAGACATTTTTTAGAGTGTGAAGAGGTGGCCCTGGTTATTCAGGTTTGATGTTAACAAGTCAGGAGCTCCCATATCCTTTTCCTGCTATTCCCTATTGGAATAAATGAGTTGTTGTTTCCACACACGCTCTTGTCGTAGGTTACATAATCCTTTGTAAGAAAGTCATTTTTCTTTGGTGACTGTAACTCTTTACAGGAGTAGAAAGTCTCACCAGAGCAGCTGGTGGCTTCAAACTCCTGACCTCGTTGTGGCGAGCAGGCCAGTGCATAGCTCAGGATGCCACAAGGGCTCCATTGCTGTCATGCAAAGGGCTTACTGGGACACAGTCATGGCCACTCCTTTATCAATTTTCTCTGGCTGCTTTTTCACGAAAACAGCTGTCTTGAATATTAAAACAGACATTATGGTCTGCAAAGCCTAGTTTATTTACTATCTGCTCTTTGTAGAAAAAAAAATTGGGCTCCTTTAAACCATATAAATGCAATTCTTTACTAAAGCAACAGATTATTCCTATGAACCTCTCACTGCTTAGCCCTGGTGGTGTAGTGAATGAGGTGTTGGGCTGCTACCTTGAAGGCCAGGGTTCAAAACCACCAGCTTCTCCAAGGGAGAAAGATGAGGCTTGCTATCCTAATAAGGATTTAAAGTCTTGGAAACCCACAGGGGTATAAGGTATGTCCTTATGACGCTGTGGGTTGGGCATTAGGCTGCTAAGTCAATGGTTCAAGTCCATCAGGGCCCTTTGGAAGGAAGATGAGGCTGTTGGCGCCTGTAAAGATTTAGTCTCAGAGATGCTATGCAATGTTGCTCTGAACTGGCAGTGGGGTATTTAATTTTTTGGTTTTGCATTATTGGTGCTAGTTGTTACCAAGGCTCTTTCAAATCATGGCAAGCACATGCTACTATCACTCTATTCCAAAGTGTGATACAAAATATGAAGCCAACTTTAAAGAAATGCCAATTTACATCAATATATCTTACTTGTGATTCTTTGATCATGATAGGAAAGATTCATGGCACTCTTGTCTGTACATTGGTTTGAAGAGAAACCTTTATGCAAAGTGGTTTCTTTCCTTTTCTTTGGAAAAATCATAGCCACCCTGGAGGAGTGGGTAGAATAGCCTTTGTGGCTTTCCAAGAGCATACATATTTTTTAATCAGCATATGATTTGCATATTATACAATCCAATAGTTCTATGATATTATAAAAGTTGTGCAAGCATCCCCACAAACAATTTTGGAGTATTTTCATCGTTCTTATACTCATTGTTGTTAGCCCCGTATTTCTCCCCAGTCTCCCCTGCCATGTCCCTAAAGAGTTATTCTCCCGTGGAGTGACTGGTGGTTTTGAACTCCTCACCTGGTGGTTAGCAGTCCATTGCATAAGTCACTAAGCCACTGGGGCTTCCATTAGTCACAATCAACTTGATGGCAATGCATTTGTTTGCTTATTTATTTTTTAACTAAAGGCTTCTGGCCTCACCTCAGTCTCCTCAACTGCTAAAGTTACTCTGGGGACGGACTCATGAGCTCGCTCTCTTTCTTACTTTACACCTTAATTAAAACCCTACAAATGTCTTGCCTTTTTTGATGTCCTTTCTTTTCATATTTTGCTGACAGGAAGAAAAATACTCTAGCACTTTTAGTTATATACACTCAGGTTTTCTCAGCTAGTTTCCCCTGTGACTCTCATTTAAATATTTCAGTCATATTATCTTTTGGGGGTTTGTTCCCCCCCACCCCCCATGAAACTATCCTAGGGATCCCAGGCTTCTCTGCCCTTTCATTGTGGGATCTGGATTATTCTCTGACCCCAACTCTCCATTTAAAGCACTCACCATTTGGTCATATGACTTTGCCTGGTGCTGTTGACCTTGTCTAGGACTCCTGGTCCTCCCACATGTGCTCTGTAGGAGTTTAAATGGCTGATTTTTAAGAAGCTGATCTCTGGGTCTTTCTTCCCGGGCACTCTTGGGCGGGTTCAAATCATCCACCTTTTGGTGAACAGTTGAGCTTGTTAACCATTTGTGCCAGTCAGGGACACCAATGTGACTGTCGAGGGCCCCATTACAGTGACATGGGAAGAGGCTTTGGCCTCACAGGTCTCTAATTTCCTTCCTCCCTTCTGCAGAAGCTTCTTCCACCACCGCTGAGGCCCTGGCCTTGTTCCTGACCTCCAACTCTATTGCAGTTATCTTAGCTGATTGTGATTTTGAATTGCAATACTCCCCATCACTATTCCTTGTCATTATGAATCAAAACAGCCACATCAGTATTTGGGAAGAAAGTAGAACATGTTTAGAAAGGTCAAAAACTCTATCCTATATTTGCAGCCCTCCCATCAGGATCAGTAACACCATACATAGTCTCATGAGGGTGATTCTTTTCCAAGAGGGGAGGTAGATTTCAAAAAACAAATGCCCGCTAATGTATTTTTTAAAGTAATAGTTTTCTTGGCATATGATTACAAGCTATACAAGTCAATAGTTCAATCCTATTAAGAAAAGTTGTACCATCACCACAGTCAATTTTAGGACATTTCCGTTCATACTCATTGATTATTATTAGCTCCCTATCCCCTCCGCCCCTCTCCCCTGGCATACACCAAGGAATCATTAATCCAGCTTCTATCACTATGGATTAACCTACCCTGGATTTCATATACAGAAAAACATTTTAAAAAGAAAACAATAAGAGCAAAAGATTAACAACAATAATAAAGCAACACGGAGAAAAACCTCAATGGAAAAGAAAGCAGAAAATAGTAAAAAGTAGAACAACTTTAAAATGGGTCAAAAGGGAGACCAAATGATAAGATGTTAAATTTTAATCTAAATACATCTGCATAATCCACTTTCCAACGGACACTGATGCAGTTTGATCTGACCAGTGGGGAAGACCATTGTTGATGTCTAATGATGGCCTTAGGCAGCATCTAGACAGGGTGATCTTAAACAACAACAACAACAAAACAGTTGCTGTCGAGTCTACTTTTACTCATGGACCTTCCAGGTATGTCAGAACAGAACTGTGTTCCACAGAAGCCTCAATGACTGGGGTCTTTTAAAACAGATCACCAGACCGTTCTTTGGAGGTGCCTCTGGATGGGCTTGAATACGCAAGCTTTCAGTTAGCATCCGAGTATGCTGACGACTAGGGATTTTGCTATTAAAATAATGACGGGAATGTTGTCTGCAAACCTGTCCCATCTGTTGAATTTTGCCACAGGGGTTCTTCATCTTGCTGTTTGGAACCATTATGGACCACAAGGTAAGGTGAACTCCCTTCCCTCGGTGTAAATGAGTCCCATGTGCCAAGGGAAGCAAAAAGGTGAAGCAAAGTCTGGGGGTGAAGGGATGTCTGTATGGATGTCAGGGAATCGGCGGTCAAGAGCAAAGAAGAAAGCTATACTCACTCATCCTGCATGTTTAACAAGTTCATAAGAGAGTGAGTATGTCTGTTGAAAAGAATAGCAACCCTAAGTACAGTTTTCACCTGAATCCTCTATGTAGTGATGACTGCCAAGTCTTAGGCCGACAGTGTGCTTAGGAATTCACAGGCGATCTGGTGCTATTTCGGCCAGGACTATTGGTTCTGTGTTACAGGACAAAGATCTGAGCCTTGGGGAGATATGTGGTCTTCTCTGATGCCTATGAGGTATTTTCTCTCTCCCGTTGCTTCTTTAGATAAGAGATGCTTTGAGGATGAGCGTGACTTCGCTGAAGGGGAAGTCAAGGGCAGCAGAGGTAAGCCCCCTTTAATATCAACACGGGAGGGTCAGTTTTCTCAGCTGAGTTGTGCAGAGAGGATTACTTTGCTTTAATGCCCAGGTGATGTTAACAAAGAGAATTAGTGGGCCATGCCAACATCCATTTGTTTCTTCATTCAACAAATCTGAGGGCCCTGCTAAAACTGCAGGTCAGCAGAATATGCCCTTTGAAAGGATTTTCCACATTGGGCTTGACACCTGGAGCATGGAGACGGGCCAGCCTGAAACCAGCTTTCTAGAGTCAGAAAATGTGCAAGCTGGGAAATTGGAAATGTGCTAGAGGCAATAATTGTAGTGCAATTCACTCATTTTATAAGTAAGAAAACCAGGTCTCAGAGTACTTAGGGGATCTGTGTAATGCCACCCAGCTAATGAAGAAGAGCCACACCAGGACCAAGTGGAGGGGCAGTCTCTCCTATTCACCTTCTTCGGGACTTTCCCCAGTGAGTCATGCTTCCTTTGATTGACGTCTCTATGCTACAGATCCCGAGGAGGACATTTGACCTGGTTACTTATTTTCTAAAGCACCAACTAAAACTGCCAACATCCCTACATGTATTGGATATAAATTAATATTCAACTCGCAGATTCCCAAGAAGTGGTCCTTCTTGAGGAACAGGCAAATGAACAGAACATTTTCAGGACACATTGCAAATTCGCATTGATGGTTATCTAGTAGCGAGTGTGACTTTTAGTATCGCAGGTCATCAAATCTAACTATCAATCCAATATCAATATCTAATAGATATTTTCTTCACTTTTTAACATGTCTGAAATTGGACTTTATCTGACAATCAGTGGAAAGACAGGGCTTAATGGTTAGACCTTTTCCTTTTATTTTCCAGTGGAATATAAAGATACTGGTGTAGTGCAGTGTTCTGTTCAGTGAAATATGATTAAAGAATCATATTCCGGATAGTTCTGTATAGCTATTTCAGTTTCAGTATATTTCATGTCTTCATTTTTGCGTGCTTACCACTAGACAGGCATAATGATAAATAGATGTATGGCGTTGTCATTACTCACTGACACCACATTACTTTTTTTCTATTTAGAACCCCCCATTAAGTCCAACCAATGGATCTAAATTAATGAGTCGCTGAGGAGAAGTGAGTATCAAAAACACCATGGACGCTTTGCTTGCAAGTTGCGACAAGCTACTTAGTGCCTTTTGTGGCAAGCTACTGCCAATTAGGTGGTGCTGGAGTGACTTGGGAGGAGGCAGGTGTACATATCTTTCAGAAAATGGAAATGTCTTCAAATTTCAGTACATCCATGAAAACATGCATATTTTCTTTAAAACAACCCTGCCCCAGTTGCACATGGCCAAGCCTTCAGCATGCTTTTATTTCCTGCCTCAGCCAGAGGGCGCTGTCCTCACACCTGCACCGGGTCAGGGTACGCCCTCCACACCCTGTCCACAGCCTTCACACACCTTAATTTCATCTTGTCTGTGCGTGTTGCTGTTCATAATAGCCCCGCTGTGGAGAATGAAGCCTTAATTGCTTGAAATCACAAAGCGATAGACCTGTTTCTCCCTAATTAAGTGGGCCCAGGATCATTCCTAAGGGGTTGTGGGTGGGGGTGTGGCAGACTAGCTGCTGACTCATAGCCAACCCCTGTGACCTCTTTTTTTCACGGTGAAATCAATTCAATACAAATCTCAGGCATTCATGAAGAGGACAATCAGTCATGAAATGGCAGCCAATCACCCGAGAGCTGTCGAGGAGAATGCGGAAGGGATGGGGTGCCTTGGTCATGGCTTTGTCCTGGAGATGCTTCAGGACCTTCCTCTGGTGACAGATGGGTCTCAGATCTCGACTGTGTTTGGAACATGTTTTGGGAGGAGCCACTTCCTCTTCCCCAATTGTTTCCTTGCTGAGTCATAGCCCATGTTGCCAGTGAGTGGTGGCATGAGGCCAGGGGTTGCTTTGAACTCCTGGCGTCAGAGATACTCTGAGTGGGAAGAAACCCTACGAACCCTGCTGTGCTACAGATCCCACAGACCCAAATGTTGCGCTGATGGCTTCCACCCAAGGGCCTCGTCTGAGCAGCCCCATTCTTAACTCACGGACCACCAGGCCTCTAAACTGAGCCCCATGACTTGCTAATGGAGCAGACTTGGGGCATGAGAAAATAAAACAATCAAGAATCCCATCTGAGAATAACTTTTCTTTGTTATATTCACGAGGCAGGATTCGTGTCGATCTATTTTGAGACATAAAAGGGAAGCCAAGGTGGGGCAAGAGGGAGGCCAGGCCACACGCAGACTGCCCAGGAGCAGAGGCTCAGCAGGAAGTCTTCCTTTAGAAGCAGAGCCTGCCTCCACCCACCCCACCCCCACCTCCCCACTGCCCCACCGCCCCCTGCCCCAATTCAGACGTCTAGCTTCCTGAGCTGGGAGAAAATAAATTTCTGTTTGTGGAAGCCACCCACTTGTGGTATTTCTGTCATAGCACCACTGGATAAGGAAGATGCCACCATTATAGTATCAGGGAGAGAATCAGAATCGATTCACAGGCCTTAGGATGCTCCTGACTGCATGGATTCATCCTTCTCTCCACTCTCCCTAAATCTCTGGTAACCACTCATCTTTTATACTGTTGCTATAGTTCTGCCTTTTCTGGAATGACATAGAAGTGAAAGCCTACATCTTTCTCTTGGCAACCTGCATTGCCTTTTCCTCCATTTCGTGTTTGTTTTGATTTTGAGCTGGACAGTTCATGTGTTCATCACTGAGGAAGGTTCCAGAGACGGAGTTAGGACCCTCTGTTGGGTTGGGTCGCTGGAGCAGTGCGGGAGGGAAAGGTCCCCAGAAAAATACAGCGAGGAGACTATTCAGCTAGAAGACTAGGAGTCTATTCAGGGTTCCCATTGTGTGACCTTGAGGAATTTGCTCAATGCCTCTGGGTCTATTTATTTGTAATCTGTAAAATGGGGCTAATAATAATTCAGACCTTAGTGGATGGCTTCAGGATTAAATGAGCCAACACATTGAACATCCTTTGAATAGCACCTGACTCTAAGTTTACCACAAATGCCAACTATTGTTCACACTACTAACCAGCGTTCCAACCATACTGCTTTGGCAGCTGGACAGCCTACGTCCTTTGACGGAGAAGTGGGCTCCGGGAGAAGGAGGCCGTGGAAAGCAGGCTGGGATGAGCAGCTAGAAGCCGGAGAGTGCCGCTGACGTGGAAGACTTGCTCTTCTTGCCATGAGTGACACCTGCCTAAGCCCTCAGCGCAAGACTTTTGTGGGAATAAGAACTGATGCTCTGACTTTATGGAGTCTGACCTATCTTCTAGACAGAAGCTAGAGAACTGTTCCTGTGACCCGACAGAGCCTGACTTCCTGGTCAACCTGATAAGGAAGATGCCACCATTATAGTATCAGGGACAATCGTTTCACAGGCCTTAAGATGCTCCTGACTGCATGGATTCATCCTTCTCATCATGACTTCCCAAGGCAAACCTTGGCAACACAACGCATGCTTCTGAGACCTGTTGTGGGTCTCCATGGGCTCCGCCATCCATTATTCTGGGTGTATCTTAGGCTCTTTGAGAGGAGGGATTAGATCCAGTTTCAGAGCTAAGATTAGGAGTGGGAGGTTTCCTAAAGATAGGGGACAGAAGAAAAGAAAGAGAACTTTAAAATGTATTTCTATTTAGACCTCAAGTGAAATGATTTAGCTCTTTAATTTAGTACTTTAATATCCTCACTTGTGACAAAGGAAACATATTCGTGTAGTTATTTCTATTTGTGTGCATGTATGTCCTTAAACCACTATATACAAAGAAGATTCCGGTTATTATTTTAGAAATAAAATTGCATATACTGGCCTTTCACAATTTGCTCCTGTGTGGGTTTACTCAAAGTGCACGTCTCCCTTGATATACCGCATTCTTTTTTTTTTTTTTGTAGAATTATTATTATTTTTTTTAACATTTTATTAGGGGTTCATACAACTGTTATCCCAATCCATACACACATCAATTGTGTAAAGCGCATTTGTACATCGTTTCTCAAAACATTTTCTCTCCATTGAAACCCCCGACATTAGGTCCTCATTTTTCCCCTCCCTCCCCGCTCCCCCCTCCCGCATGAGCCCCTGATAGTTTATAAATGGGTATTTTGTCATATCTTGCCCTGTCCGACGTCAACCTTCATCCACTTTTCGGTTGTCTGTCCCCCAGGGAGGAGGTCACACACAGTTCCATGTAATCGGTTCCCTCCTTCCTACCCATTCTCCCTTTACCCTCCCTGTTTCGCCACTCACACCACTGGTCCTATAGGGCTCATCCGTCCCGGATTCCCTGTATTTCCAGTTCCCATCTATACCAGGATACACCGCATTCTTAGGCATCAGTTCTGTGTTTATCAACCGCACTTCATGGACCACAACCAACCGGAGGCCAGAAAATCCTAGTACCAAATGCTCACAAATCGAATGAGTCTTGAAACCTCTGTCACCACTTCGGTGTTGCATAACAAGGAAGTCATAAAACAAACAAAAAACAATTGCATTTTCTTTGGAAGGCAACTTCCCAAACCTTAAATAGGGGCAGTTTAGAATGAAGGCAAAGATGGTCTTCAAACCAGAGTAAAAACAAAACAAAAAACCAGACCTCTTGCCATCAGGCTGATAACAATTCACAGTGACCCTACAGGACACAGGGGAATGGCCCTCTAGGGTTTACTAGGCAGTGATCTTATAGGAACAGACTGCGACATCTTTTCCCCAGTGAACAGCTGGTGGGTTCAAATTACTGACCCTTTGATTCTCAAATGAGACCGTTAAGCACTGAGCAATCAGGCTCCCTTCAAATCAGGTAGTAATTATGTAAGTGATGAAAGAGTCAGTCAGTTGGAAATGATTCTCCTCTAAAAAAATTAAATTTATTCATAGTGAAGAATATGCATCCTATAAATTTTAAAGCATTATTGATCTATATTTCCTTTTGCTACTATAAAAACAACTTTTACATTTTATTACCCAAGAACCAGAAATTTCAGTGCACCATATAACTGCTACCCTAATAATTTCCTTTTGTTTAGTAGATTTATTTGGTGTCATAACAAGGCCAAATAAACAATTTCCTTGCTTATACCAAGGGGCTGCTAGCCACAAGGTTGGCACTTCAAAGCCACCAGCTGCTCTTTGGGAGGACGACAAGACTTTGTGCCCTTGTGCAGAGTGACGGTCTCAGAAACCCACAGAGACAGTTGTCCCATCAGGTCACTCGGAGTCAGAACTGACTCTAGGCAGTGCGCTTGTTTTTTTTGAGGTTTGGATGTGCTTATAGCACTTAGTTTCCATTCTTCTCAACATCTGTATACTGCTGGGAAGAAAGAAAATTCTGGAACACCCGCAGTCTTTCAAACAGTGCAAAGGGATGTTGAGTGGTTTTAAACCAGGCACCCTTTCACCATACTCATTTGATCGGTATGAGGAGAAAAAAAGAATTCAAGAAACTAGATTATGTGAGGAATGCGGCACCAGGCTTCACGAAGACTCAGCTGCTGTGCGGATGAGTCAGTCTTGCTGGCTGAGAGAGAAGACTTGAAGCACTTGCTGATGAAGATCAATGTCTACAGATTTCAGGGCGGATTACACCGCAACACACAAATCAAACTCCAAGCCAATCCCTGCCAGTGAGTCCATCCCGACACACTGCTACCTTATAAGACAGACCAGAGCTGCCTCTCAGAATTTCTGAGACTGATCTTTACAGGAGCAGATGCCTAGCTTGGTTTCAATCAATGACTTTGCATTTAGCTGCGTAACGTTTAACCCGCTAAGCCACCCAGAACAAAGCCAAACTCACTGCCATCAAATGGATTCGACTCACAGAGACCTTCTAAGGACAGAGTAGAACAAAGAAAGAGACCCCAGGCATAGCATAGCTAGACGTGCCAGTTTGGCTCTGTTGCACTAATTATGTCCAAATCCGATTGAGGTGGACTTGTTTGTCACTAAACACTCTTAAGTCTGCTTCAGTTGTACTTTTCCTCCTTTTGTTTTGTTTTGTCATTAACAAAACTATTCTATGAAACCTTCCACATATGATGGTTGTGTTCTTTTAAAATCCCTCCTCCCCGCCCCTTTCCCCAAGAGTCTGATACCCATCCAAGTCCAAAGATGAAAGGACACATAAACTGCTCTCACCGCCTTCGATCCTGACTCATTAGCGACCCCCTATGGTTTCCAAGATAGGCTGTTTACGGGACTGGAACGCCCAGTCTTTCTCCTGTGGAGCTGCTGGTGGTTTTGAACTGCTGACCATGCTGATTGCAGTCCAACGCTTAACAACGACACCACCAAGGCTCCTGGGGACTGGAAATGCCAGATTTGTGGTATGACGCCTGGAGGGAAGATTTCTTCCACAGAGACTGAGCGGAATAGTCCTGCTGGATAGACCGGTGGCACAAGGACAGTCAATGTAGGAAGAGAGAGAAACATGCTCTGTCCCTGCCCCCAGCTTATTACCCATCACAACCCCGCCCCCAGTGTATTACCCATCACAACCCCGCCCCCAGCATATTGAATCACTTGTCCCTGGGTTTGTTAACACCACTTCCTTCCCCTGACCTCCCCCTCGCCCATGTCCCTCTTTCCTGGTAGAGATATAAATAATACCCTCCCCTTGGGTGGGTTAGTCTCCTGTTCCTCTGCTACCCATTTCTTTTTTTTTTCCCTTTTTACCCCCTCCTTTTTAGTTGGCTACCC